AAAAAATCACATAGTAAAACTAGTGTTATCAAACTTTAGCAAGTGAATGATCATCTACAAACTCTTAAACATGTGGATAGAAACCCCACATCCAGCCAGGCCTAGTGGCACACGTGCATGTGTGTTATCCTGCAGTCTGAGGGGTGGACAGAGGGTGGCCTGGGGTAGCTCAACCTCAACATTCAGCTATTTAGCCAGACCTTGCCTGAAATTAAAAATCAGTAAATAAAAATTGTTTTTAAAACATTGAAAATGTATCTCAGTGGGAAGGTTCTGTGTCCAATCCTTCCTACTGAAAAAAAAAAGGAACAAAAAAGAAAAAGAAAAAGAAAAAGAAAATCCTTCACCTTGCAGTTGTCACTCAATAAATCTAGATAAGACTTAAGGCAATATCTCTGCAATGTGACTATATATGAGAATTACTCAGAGAATTTTTACCTTGATATAATATATACATGTATTAAAATATTGTGGAATTTTATAAATTTGGATAATTTTATGTATTAATCTCTTAAAGAGATTAAAAAAAAATCTGAACAACAATACTGTAGTCCAAATAATTAAGTTTGTGGTTCGATCCCCAGCTCTTCATGCCTTACCAGACCTGCCCTTAAGGCACCCTGAGCCAGCCAAAAAAAAAAAAAAAAATCCATACATTGTATTCATGCACCTTATCAGATTATCACACCAGCTACCAACTGCTATTAATAATGCTGGTTGTCTCAAGTGTAAAGTTACATCATACACAGTTAATTTCTAGTAGTTGTAGTGATTATTTTGTTTTATAATCCTATTGGGATAAATTGAAACTTCAAGGTTTTTTGGGATGTGGTAGATGATAAGTCTATTCATAATTTTAATTATGATTGGTTTGACAATTAAGTATTTCACAGTTATTGTGATGCTAATAACTTTTTGTTGAACGGTGCATGTTTCTGAAACTGTATTATTTCAATTAAACTTGAATTTTTATTAAAAATAACTGCTGACATTTTCACTTAGTAACTATTAATAAAGTCATAGAACATTTCTTTACACTTTAGTGTGATATTGAACTGATAAGTGTAAAATAAACTCTACTTAGGAATATAATAATTACTCAATAAATAGAGTTACAAATACTTTATATTAAAATTTTCAACTGTGAATGGTCAGT